GCCTCCCCCCTCTCGCCTGGAAGCCAATAAAAGCAGAACCCCAGGCCCACGATCTCAGGCTCTCTCTCTTTCCACGACCTCGCTGTGTGGACCCAGGTGTGTAGTGTCATTTCCAGGTCCTGTAAGTAGTAAACCTTTGTTTTTGTCAAAGTTTTCTAATGGTTGTTGTTGCAGGGCATCTTGCAAACACAAGAACCATAAGGGGCTGGTTCAGCCACAACACTGGTTATTGGTAGGCTGAGATCGACACACAACTTCAGTGATTTAACACAATCACATTGTATTTCTTGCTCACACCAAGACCGCTGAGGCTCTGCGGGACTCTCCAGGACACTCTCCTCCATGCTGTGACTCAGGGATCCAAGCTGTTCCCGTCTTCTGCTTCCAGCACGAGGGGCAGAGAAAGACGAGGGCATTGCATGGAGTTTTTACTTAGTTTCAGCCTGGCAGTGGCCCTCAGCACGGATGCTCACATTGTGCTGGCCAGGCTGTTTCCGGGGCCCGGTTACCTGGAGGTGTGGGGAGCAGACAGAATGGTGACGAGCATCATATCCTCTGCCTCGCTTGCTTCTGAGGGGACCGGTGTCGGGGAGTGTTAAGGCCGTGGGAGCTGCATTCTTAGTGTTGATGGGCCAGGATAAAACACATGTCTTAGAAATGAAAGCTGGAGTCACTGTGTCCCTGAGGCTGAAGAAGAAACAGCAGTAGACCCCAGGAGCCTTGGTCAGCTCCGACTCCAAACAGGTGAGGACTGGGGATGAGGCGGAAGCAGTACTTGTGGGGGAATCTCCAGGACAATCTCTGGCTTTTTCCAGAAGGGGAGGGAGATAAAGAGGAACAAGAAAAGGCAGTGGAGGCGCTGAGCCAAGTCAGTGGGAAGGGACCGTCCGCCCCATTGCATGTCTTTCTGTGCTGCAGTCCCTGGGGTCCCTGGGGCAGGACAAGTCCTCGTCACCTCCTGAGAGGGTGACGTGGGTCCTGGCCCTTTGAAGAGGCTTAGTATGTGCTTCCTGGGAAAGACTGATTGATTGAATGAATGAATAACACTAAATGCCCTTTTTCTTGTTCCTGAATGTCACATTTAGCAGAAGAAAGGGCAGTCGTTTGTTTGTGACCCGCTGATGGCCCCTGCCCTCTCCTGGAAGTGGTTGCAGGGAGGTGACTGCTGGCCATCCCCAGACCCAGTTCTGGGAGTTTATTCACTTGGGAGAGAGGCCCAAATGGCCCATAGAAAGTAATCTAAAATTCTGGCATCTGCTAATGGCACAGAGTTTTTCCATCCTCAGCTCTGTCCTGCCAGCTGATGCGAGGAAGAAAAGAGGATTGCTTAGGGGCACGGACGTGCCAAACTCTGAGTTCCCCCACTGGCCGTACCCCTGCCTCCTTCCCCTTCCAGCCCAACTCCCAAGCTCCCAATGGGAGCAGCCATTTAACTGGAGTTCAGAATAAACAAGGCAGTCACTTGGAAGTATCAGCTCCAGCATCCTCTGAGAACTAAATACCCAGAAATTAATGCCTGGTCCCTGCTCCTTGGCTGCCTTCAAGTGTGGCTATGTTTCATGTGTGTGTGTGTGTGTGTGTGTGTGTGCGCGCGCATGTATGTGCATGTGTATGTAGGCACACTTGAACACAAGCCTGCACAGGCATGATTTGGTTTGTACAAGAGAGTGTGTGTGCACAAATGTGTTGTGTGGGCACATGAGTATATCATATCAAAGGATGTCTGCTCTAGGAGATGAACTCGAGTGTGTGTGTGTATGTGTGTGTACACATGTGTGCACACATGTGTGAGTAGGTATGCGTCTGCACACATAGATGTATAAGGGGTCGGAAAGTCTTTCAAAGAGAGGGCTGCTGCTTTAGTTCTGGAGAAAAACACTGGGGATCGGACTCCATGGGTGAGACTCCCAAGCCTTGAATCCAGTGTTGGGTGGAGGCGAGTTGGATATGTTTAGAGAGGGACACACAACCTAGGACCTCAGCGATCTCCTGGTTTGTTGGGAGGATCTGGTTGCAACCTCCCAGGAACTGTGAGTCTGATGAGGAGCATGGAGGTTTCATTAGTGCATTACGGGTGGGGGAATGGGTCTCGATGTGTGAAACGTTCACCGAAGATGGGAAGGACCTGGAGGTCGTGTGTGCGCACATTACTTGTGCACTCTGTGTGTGATGAAGGCAGACCCCGCCTGGGATTGAGGAGCCTGTCTGTGTGCTCCCTCGACGACTCCTTCACCAGGGTTGTTGAGTGTGAACAGAACAGGGGCCAGGGCAGAAGAGTCTAGGAACCACCTGGGAGAGGAGTCTAGGCCAGGCTATCTGCATCTCTCCCACACAGGACCCCAACATGAAGACCCTCCTGCTGTTGGCAGTGATCATGGCCTTTGGTAAGAGTGGACCCTGACTTCTGGCCACAAGGGGGAGGGAAGCACCCTCATCCCCCAGCTTCCCTTCCCACTGCGTCATGCCCTCGGTGGGAGGAAGAGAGGGACCATTATGGGGAGGGGGAGGGGGAGTAGCAGAGAGAAGCAGAGGGAGGACCCAGGGCCGCAGCCCCCATCACCAGGTGATTTCCTTCCAGGCCTGCTGCAGGTCCGTGGAGACTTGCTGAGTTTTCGGAAAATGATCAAGTATACGACAGGAAAGGAGCCTGTGTCCACTTATGGCTTCTATGGCTGCTACTGTGGCCTGGGTGGCAAAGGATCCCCCAAGGATGCAACAGATCGGTGAGGCCACGCCCAGTCCTCCCTTCCCTCTGCCCGCCTGTGGCCCCAGCGGGGCTGGGAGCTGTAAGCCTCGTGCTGCTGTCTCATCAGCACAGAACCCCAGCTGAAAAAGCAGCCAATTTTTTTGTTGATGCATGTAAATGTATAAGGGGTGGAAAGTCTTTCAAAGAGAGGGTGCTGCTTTAGTTCTAGAGAAAAACACTGGGGACCGGACTCCCCTAGAGCAGAGGAAACTCCACTTTAAACTATTGCAACATCCTTGGGTCCCTGCCCAGGGTCAAAGAGGTAAGACCACAGAGCACCAGGCTCCCTGGAGCTACAGGGGGACAGCCTCAATAGCGTGGTCTTGTCACAGGTGCTGCGTGGCGCATGACTGTTGCTACAGACGTCTGAAGAGAATCGGCTGTGGCACCATATTACTGAGTTACAAGTTTAGTTACCTCCGGGGCCAAGTCGTCTGTGGTAAGAAAGAGTCTTACAACCCCGCCCAGCCTCCTTTGTTCATTTTACTGAGTGTCCACTGTGCCGGGCACCAGAGATGGATACGAAGGGACAGTGTCCCTGCGTCAGGATGCTCACAGTTGAGTGGGAAGTGAAGAAGGTGAAAATAAACATGGCAGACTCCAGTAGGAAGTAAGAAAAAGGACAGGGCCCTGAACACAGCCTGAATTTCAAGGAAGGTTCCTGAGAGTGGTGACCTCCATGCTGAGTCTTCAAGGCAGTGAGAAGTCAGGCCAAAGGAGGGTTTGGGGCACCACAATGGGAGGACAGAGCAAGGTCAAAGGGACCCAAGGGAACGGCAATAATTCCATACTGCTGAAGGGAAATGTGAGGATGAGATGGAGCGGTGAGGGATGATGCTGGAGAGGAAGGAGGGGGCTAGATCAAGACTCCAAAGCCATATTGAATTTAGATTTTGTCCTAAAGCAGTAGGGAGCTCTTAGGCAAAGGAGTGACATGATCAGACTGGCATTTCAGAGGACTCACGCTGGCTGAGGGTGGACGAAGACAGATGGAAGAGGGGGAGCAGTGAGAAGGACATTGCCATAAGACAGAACATGAGACAGTAAGAGCTTGACCTATGGCAATGGTGGTCAGGATGGAAGGGGTGGAGAGCGACATTAAGATACATTTAAGATAGAATCTGCCCAGCTTGGTAGTTGACTGGCTGGGGTGATAGGGAGCTATTGAGTGGCTCTACAACTGTGTGGGCTGTGTAACTGAGGAGGTCCTGGTGGGTGAGGGGAGGAGGAGTTCTATTGGGAGCATGTTGAGTTTGGAGGCTTCCGGAACATCCAGGGAGATGTGCATCAGGCAGCCGGATGAAGGAACTCATCGGCTCAAGGGAGGGGTCTGGACTGGGGCACAGTTTCAGGAGGTGGCAGCAGAGAGCAGAGGGGTGGGTGTATTCACCCATTTCATGTTAAAAGGCCCAGAAAAGAGACAGAGGAGGGAGAATCAGAGAGAGAGGAGAAAAACCAAGAAAGTCAAGGAGTTGGCAAGGAGGAGATAATTAATGGCAGCCAGCTTAACAGAGGAGTCCTCCAGGATGAGGGCTAACAAGGCTCCTCGGATCTACAGGCAGGAGGACCACTGAGGACCTCAGTGGGAGCTGGTTCCATGAGCTGGTGAGGGCAAAGCCAGATTAGAGCAGATTGGAAGGTGGGTGGGAAGTGAAGCAGAGGCAGTGAGTGGGAAGTAGACCCACGAGTGGGATTTTGAGAAAGCATGGACTCTTGCCCAACAGCCTGAGTTCTGTAAGATCAGAAATTATGTCTCCTCATCATGACCTCTCCATAAGGTCATGTGTCTTTAGCAGGCTTTGAGTGGCAAGCAACAGGATTCCCAACTAAAAGAGGCTCAAACATAGAAATTCTGACTCTCATATAACTGAAGTCTGGAAGGGGGCAGTGCCAGGGCTGGGGCAGCTTCTCAACTTTGTCTTGAAGGACTCAGCCTTCTCCCAACCTTCTGCTCTGTCGTGTTGGCAACGTGATGTCAAGACATGCTACAGCTCCAAGCATTATGGCTTTACTTTCCGAAAGAGGCTCTCCTTTTGTATGTCTCTCTGAGGGAGGAAATTAATACTTCCCAGAAGCCCTCAGCAGACTTTCCCGTGTGGCTCATTGGTCAGAGCAAGGTCACAGGCTACCCAGAAACCAATCACTACAAAGGAAAAAGGGATGACTGTGACGGGTTTACACCAATCATGACCCATTCCATGGTCCCGAGGGGCCAGGGGCTTTGCACCCTGGACGCATCTGCTAGCAAGGAAAAAGACACAGGAAGGCCTTTAACAAAATACCAGTGCATGGCTGCTGGTGTCCCCATCATACTGGAGGTAAGGGTTCTGAGGGCAGGAATTCTGTCTCCCCATCAGTCAGAAATGTCTGGAACATAGATGCTTCCCAGGCTAGAAGCCCCTGGAGACAGGGGGGCTTCTCCCCCTGACCTCCCACAAGAAACCATGGAATATTAACAAACCCCTCATCCTGTGTTTATTTTCTTGTGATTTCAGACAAACAGGAATACTGTAGGAGTGAACTGTGTCAGTGTGATAAAAGAGCTGCTGATTGCTTTGCAAGAAACCAGAAGACCTATAATAAAAAGCTTCAAAACTACAGTAACCTACTGTGCAGTGGGAGTGCCCCCAAGTGCTGAAGGTCCCCTGATCCCAGAAGCCTTGCCACTCAGTGCTGAGTTTCCTTTTCCAGCACCTGCCCCTCTCCCCTAGCCAATGGCGAATGAAGTAAACCCTCTTTCACATCCTAGAGACAAGCCAGGAGTCCTTCCCTTCCCAGATAGAAGCCGTCTATCCGGAATGAGAAGCCCAAAGCCTGAGCATGTATGCCTGGCCCCTTCCCTCTGCTTCCTTGGGCAGTGGGGGATTTCCCCATTTCCATGCTCTTTTAAGTCAGACTTCATGCTTAGC